GTGGGCTCTAAACCAGGACAGACCTGGGCCCACGGGGCTGCTGGCGGAGCCTCTCTCCGGCCCAGGCACCTGTCATTCTGACGCTCCCAGCGATCCAACACGCAGGTCAGGTCAGGCCCCGGATCTAGGCCTCGGCCATCAGGTCCAGACACCCCGGGCAAGTCTCAGGAACCGCCCTGACCCTCCAGCGCCAACCTCACAGCTTCCTTTGCAAACTCAGACGGAAGAGGAGGGGGGCAGGGGAGACGCTGACGCAGGAAGAGGGGGGGACTGAGGTGGAGGGGAAGCCTCAGGCAGCGGCCCTGGGGGTGCATGTGACCCTGCAAGCCCCTCAGCCTGCGAGGGCCCAGGATGCAGAGAGTGGCCGCACCAGGAACTCCCAGTGGCCCTGCCCCTCCCCCACAGGGTGACTCAGCCTCTGGGACCCGAGAATTCCATCGGGGTCCCCAAGGAAGCTCCGTCCTAGAGATTCAGAAGCCGAACCCGCCCCGTGTCCTCCTCCTGCCACTTTCCACCCAAAACAGGCCCCCATCTTCTTCCCGTTGTGAGACGCGCGGCCTGGCCAGGAGCACCCCCACCGCGTTCCTCAGGGTGTGCGGAGGTGGGTGGGGCTCCGACTGCTCCTCCTGAGCCCAGGCCTCTCTCCAGGCCCGTGTCCGGGCAGGAACTTAGCCTGAAGTCCCAGGAGTGTCCCGGAACCGGGAGTGCGGGCTGCGGAGCTTTCTCCTGTGGCGTCCCCTGCCCTGGCCTCGCGGGGTGTCCTGCAGCCCCAGGCCCAGGGGTGCAGGGTGGGCCTGGTCCTCCCTATCACCTTGGAGCCTCCCACAGGCCTGGCCCAGACGCAGCCTGTTTGCTGGCTGAACAGCAAACACGAGTGTTAATACTCAGAGCTAAGGCCTCAGGGTGAGGCGATGCACCGAGTGAGTGGCTCGGAGGATGGAGGCCCCCCTTCACGCTGACATGTCCACCGGCCCCTTAAGCAGCGGCAGAGGTGCTGAGGCACCAGCCACAGCCCAGGCCCGGCGACGCTCTCGGCACCTGCCACCGCCGGCCTCGCTTTCTGGGGAGATAGGCACCCAACCAAGAGACAAGCCGGGCACAGGCAGGAGTGGGGTGGGCTCACCCCTGCGGGCTCCCCGGGGCCGGGCATGGCACTCCCCGCCCACCAGGCCCCACAGCAGGGGGCGAGAGAGGAGGGTGTCACAGCTGCAGGGCCCGGCCCCGGGCAGGTGACTGAGGAGCCCGCTGCCACAGCCCTCCCTCTGGGCTGTCACTCACAGCCATCTCTTAATTAGCAAAGTAAACAGCACGATGATAAATGTCATCATTTACTCAACAGATGATCAAATCATTGTTTCTCAGACCCCAGGGCAATGAAATGCAATCAGGGGGTGATTTATTCGGGCCGGGTGTGTGGCGGCCACGGCGGCAGGCAGGCAGCCCATGGGGGTGGGGGGGCAGTGTTTAGGCGTCACCCGGGCTCGGGGACAGGCTACCTCTCTTTGATGGAGCCCAGGGCCATCTCCACTCACCCCAACTCCCATCTGTCCCCACTGACGTGCCTGGCCAGGCCGGGGTGCGGGGCAGATACACCTGACCTGGGGTGTGTCTCCTTCCAAAATGGCAGGAATCACCCGGCCGGCGTGGCTCAGTGGCTGAGCATCGACTATGAACCAGGAGGTCAGGGTTCGATTCCCGGTCAGGGCACAGGCCCGGGTTGCAGGCTCGATCCCCAGTGTGGGCTGTGCAGGAGGCAGCCAATCCATGACTCTCTCTCATCATGGATGTTTCTCTCTCTCTCTCTCCCTCTCCCTCTGAAATCAATAAAAATATATTTTTAAAAAATGCCAGGAACCTCCAGGTTTCCTCCGAGCACCCAGGGGACGGGAGGTCTACAACATGTGGGAGGAGGGCTCACTGCCCGGCCGAACCCCGCGTTCCCATTTTGCTGAAGAAAAACTCCTGCATGAAACCTTGACCCTGAAGGTTGTAGGTCACCCATGTCGGGCCCAGGGAGAGACGCGTGTCCTGCCGGAGTGTGAGGGACCCCGGGGCCGGGCGTGGCCAGACCGGATGTCAGCCACATGAAGACGAAAGGAAAGGGGCCTTGGATTTGATTCCAATGGAACGTCCAGGAAAACAATGTTAGTCTCAGGGTTGAAAGAAAACGGTTTCCAGGGCGCCCCAGAATGAGGGGAAGCGCAATCCATTTGACCGTGGCTTTCACTCAGGCCTGGGTGACACCTTCCGTGTCTGTGGGGGGACCCCTCTGTGTGCCCGACTCCCAGGCCCAGCGGACAGGGAATCCCCCTGCCAGCGTGGACCCTGCCCCCCGGGAGCCCACGCCGACACAGGACCCTCCTTGGGTGTCTTTTGTCATCTTTGCTAAGGTGTCCCCACCTCCTCTCGCAGCAAACGAATGGCATGTAGACCATGTAGCGCAGACGGCGGTAAAACCAGACCACCCTGACTTACACAACAACGACCAGCTTGAGGCTGAGCCACTGCACAGACACAATCGGGGGCTGTGGTGGGATCGTGGCCTCCGGACGCTGTCTCCGGGACCTGCTCCGAGGTCCTGGGCCCGCCCCACCTCACCTGCTCACCTGCCTCTCACGCGCTAACCGCTGTCTAATTAGCTTTTTTTCTCTTTTTTTAATCCTCACCCGAGGATATTTTTCCATTGATTTTTTTGAGAGAGTGGAAGAGAGAGGGAAAGACAGAGAGAAATAGTGATATGAGAGAAACACATGGATTGGTTGCCTCCTGCATGAGCCCCAACGGGGGAGGAGCCTGCCGCCGATATGTGTCCTTGACAGGAATCGAACCCAGGACCCTTCAGTCCGCAGGCCGATGCTCCATCCGCTGAGCCACAGCCGGTAGGGCGTGTCCAGTTATCTTCCCATCGCACTGCCTGCGGAGCCGGGCTCCCCGCGGGCCCAGGGAGAGCGTCTTGCGGACGGAGCCACAGGCCCTGGGTCAGGCCACTGGATTTACGTTGGGGGCGTGGGGACTCCCAGAAAGATCCAGGCTGTGGAGCCGGCTTTTCCGCTTGGATCTGAGGCCTCCCGGTGCCCACCCGGGTGCGACCAGGGACCACTCCTCTGCCGCTGGGATGGGGCACCTGAGAGTCGCCGCTCTCCCGAGCCGCCCGTCCTACTCGGAAGGCGAGATAACCAAGCGAGGCGGCAATGACCCGGCGAGGGGGCCGCGGGAAACCCCCACGAGGCTGCTGACGGGGCGTCCTGCCCCAAGGCCCACACGGCGGCCCTGAGCTAGAAGGCAGCCTCGGCCGCCTGGTCGGTTTCAGGGGAAAGTGGGGTCGCCCTGAGTTTTGGGGACACCTGCCCGCCCCTCCCGGTTCCAGGGAGGCAGTGGCTTCCGTAGGCTCCCAAATGCAACAGGGACGCAGACAGCTGCCGACGCGCTCGCTGGAGCCACGAAGCCCCAAGATGGATCCCGAGCAGGTAGCCGGCGTCCAGCTCGCAACAGCCAGACGCGCCCGTGCCCGCGCCCTGAGTGCCCCGTGCGCCCCGGGGCGCGGGCAGGGCGAACACTTCCCGAGCTGCTGGCATGAAAGGCCGCTGGCGGGTCACGACCGGACAAGCCCACTGCGAGGCGGGAGGCGCCGCGGGGACAGCGTTCCCTCACGTTCGCCGAGAATAAATAATATCGCAAAGTCAACAGCCCGGACGATAACAGGGCGGCCGGACCAGGCCGGGCACCCAGCAAGCAGCCGCGACATGGCCGTTCCTTAAAAAAGAGCCAACAGGAGCCTGTGGCAGTGCCAAGCGAACAAGCCCTCCAGGTCGCCCACGCGCTGCCTGAGCGGTGCGTGCTCCCCGCAGCGGCCAGAGCCACCGGCTCCCGAGGTAGCCCAGGCCCCCTGCGCCTGTCCCCCAGCACCGTCATCACGCTCCCCACAGCCGGGCGGGACGGGGGGTTAGGGGGGGACAGCCAGGGCCTGCCAAATGCCACGCACAGCCCAAACCACACGCCTGTCCCTGTCAGAGCTGCTCTCCTGGCTCCGAGGGGACGTCCCAGGAGCCACGAAAGAGCACAGGGTGGGCGCAGGGGAGGTGCCCGGGGGGGGGGGGGGCTCAGGAGCCGCCAATGAGCTGGAAAGAGGGCGCCTGAGCAGCGCTGTCTCTGGGGAGAGCCTGGGCCTGATGGGCCTGGTTAGAAGCTGCAAAGCCTCATGGGAGGGTGGGGGAGGGGCAGGGCCCCTTGGTCCCACCTTCCGGAGAGGCTCTCCGACCCTCACTGCCCCGTCCCAGCCATGGCGCCCTCCTGCCAGACCTGACCCGGCCCAAGAGCCTGGCGGCACCCGCGTTTCCCCAGCAGGGTCCCCGACCCGTGAGACCAGCGAAGCCCGAGATGGGGCCCAGGGCCCTTGGTGGCCGCAGCAGGGCACCCCAAGGGAGGGACGCCTTAGGGGCGTCAGCAGCCTCACCTGTGCCTCCACCCTCCTGACCACTGGGGTTCAGGACCATCGAGGCAGACCTCGGCTGTTGGGCTAAGCTGCCGACTCCCCTCCGGCAGGATGAGAGCGTGCACCCCACTAATATGAGAAGCGGGGGCTCCTCTCAGGGAGCCGGGGGGTGGGGGCCGGGGGCCGGGGGTGGATGTGCATGGGACAGCGCGGCCGCGGGCGTGTCCTGGGAGCGGCCCCATGTGCAGGAGGCTCCCCGGAGTGGAGACGTCCCGGGACACCCCATTCCTCTCCACGCCCCCGAGCTCGCAGCCTTAGCACCTCAGACCAGACGGGCAGCTCAGGCGGTTTAAGACATGAGCTCATTAAAGACACATTTCCGGGGCGGGCGGCCGGTGGGGCTGCCGGTCCGGGGGCCTTGATGCTTTGGGAGTCGCGTCATGCGAGCCGCGGGATAAAATAGGCCTGGGAACCATGACCGTCGGACGCTCCCCGCCGCCCTCCCGCCGGAATCGGGGCTTATAAATAGATGGAGCCCGAGATAAACGCCGCGATCCATCACACTCACCTCCCAGCCGAAGTCCTCCCTCAGCGCGGCCCGGGGCGCCGCCAGGCAGGGGCCCACGCGCTCCCCGACCTCCAGCCGCTTCTTGGCCCAGATGCCCAGGCCGGCGCCCGGGATGGAGGACTCTCGCAGTTCGAAGTCGGGGGGGATGGGGATGTCGTCGGGGATGTAGACGGGGGCCTCGTAGGGCGAGCCCTCCTTGGGGGTGAAGTCCTCGCTGGTGGGGAAGGGGGACGCCGGCCCCATGGGGATGGGGGACATGATGCTGTCCTCAGTCTCATCCTCCGCACTCTCTCCCGCCAGCAGGTCCGGGTCCGGCTCGTACATACTATTTACAATGTCACCGTCACCTGAGGGAAACAGCACAGCGTCAGGCCGGGCGGCACCCCCTCCCCGGGGCGCGAGGCTCGGGACCCCCGGGACTGGGACGGATAGGAACCCCGGGCACCCAGGCACCCCCTGCCCAGGACACGTCGCCTCTGCCCCTCCCGACCCAGCAGCCCGCATCCCCATGAACAGCGCTAGGACGTCCGCCCCCCGCCCCCCAGGCTCCCTCCGGAACCAGCGTTCCCCACGCCTCCCGTGGCCACGTGTGGGAAAGCGGGGACAGGAGCACCCACAGGCCACAAGCTTGGGGGGCGTTGTCACACGGGCCCCCAGCCTGGGGCTGGTGGTGCACCCATGTCCCAGAGCCACCCAGTGTGTCTGCAGCCTGAATGGAGGTGGCCCGAGTTCCCGGGAAGACTTGGGATTTGGGCTCCTGGGGCCTGTACCCCACACCTGGGCCTCTCTGGGCAGCTGGTGGGCAGCGGCCCCGGTTCCTGACCGGCTCTTGGCAGGTGAGGGCGGCAGCTGACAGCACCACCCGGGACCCGCAGGCTGAGGCCCAGGGCCGAGCTGAGGGCAAAAGGGTCCTCTCTGCGGGGCTCCTCCTGAGACGCTCGGTGCCAGGACAGTGCCCCTGGCATAGCCCAGCCCCGAGGGGGCGGTAACACGCGGGCTGGGGAGCGAGCAGGCGGCGGGGGTGGGGGGCGCGGCACAGCCGGGAGAGGCTCACGCAGGCATCACCCCCAAGAGCTGAAAAGACAGGTGAGCGTTCACAGCGCGCTTGTGACCCACAGCCCCCGCGGCGGGCACACCTGGGCCCATCAGCGGCGAGCGCTGAGGAGCGGCCCCCACAGGTGAAGGCTCAGCCCGGAGGAGGCCCGCCACCGCCTCGCTGAGCGAGCAGCCGACCCGAAAGGCCACGCACGCCGCGCAGGGCTCCCTCCGGTGGGATTCCCAGACCCCGCGGCCCCGCGACGGCGTGTGCGTGGCGAGGCGTGTCCTCTGGGGAAGGAACGTCTGGGACGGACGGAGGTGCTGGTGGCACCACCCGCATCCCCATGAACGGCGCTAGGACGTCATTTGCAAATGCGCTAAATGTCACTGAACCGTTCACTCAAAATGGCCAGTCTCGATGTGATGTGAACTTCACAGCAGGAGGTCTTAGAAGTCAGAGGACGTGGGGGGGGGGGAGGGGTGGAGGAGCAGCGAGGACACCCGCCCGGCCCGAGCTGCTGACCTCTGTCCACATGCTCCGCCCTCTGCAAACCTGTGAAGGTGACCCGGCCGCTGTGGTCACCTCGGCCCTCGGCCCTCCCTGCTCCCTGCCTGCCATGGCCGGCGAGGCCGAGGTCTCCATGGCGACGGGACTTCTAAGTATAAGAAAAGTGACTCCGGCCTCTCGCGCCAGGAGCAGGCAGATCTGGTGCAGGACAAACAAGAGGTTTTCTTTGCGGAGAAACGAGTCTCAAGGAGAAAGCGTCGTGAGGGGTCACCTAGTCATTTAGCGCCTTTGCGGAGGCGACGGTTCCGTCCGCCATTGGCTGGCGGGGTCCCCTCCAGCGAACAGCAGCGAGCCCCTCAACCCTGAGCACCCCAGTGGCTTAGGTTTGAAAGGCACCCCCTCCCCCTACCCTGCCCCCCGTGGAGGCAGGTTGCAAGGGGGCAATTAAGGTGCCACTTCGTTCCTGGGAACCACAGAGCTCACCCCGGGCCCCACGCAAGTCCCCACTCCTGGGCGGGGGGGGGGGGGGTCGTTTCCTCCAGACAATGAGGGACCAGCCAGGCTGCACGCGGGCCCCCTGCACTGTGTCCCCCGCACGCAGGGGTATCTCGGGGCTCTTTGTTTTTGGCGGGGGTGTTATTTTCTTTTTTAAAAAATATTTGTTTATTGATGTCAGAGAGGAAGGGAGAGGGAGAGAGAGAGAGAAACGTCCATGATGAGAGAGACTCATGGACCGGCTGCCTCCTACACGCCCCACACTGGGGATCGAGCCCGCAACCCGGGCCTGTGCCCTGACCGGAATCGAACCCCGACCTCCTGGTTCATAGGCCGACGCTCACCCACGGAGCCAGCCGGCCGGGCCCTTTACAGTTTCTGTGTGAATTCTACTTCCCCGAGCACCTCACCTGCTGGCGGGTAACCGAGCTTAAAGGCGTGCTGAACCTGCCGGCCGCACAGACAGGAGCGCGGGGCCGGGGCGTGTTTCCTGCTGATGGAAGGCGGCTGCGGGGCCTCCGCCCCCGCGGGCACGGGGTTAAGTGCCGCCCGAGGCACCGGAGAGCCAGGCTCCTCTGTTCCGCTGCCCCAGCGCCCTCCCTCACCCCTCAGAGTGGAGGCAGGCGGCCTGGTTACTGTGCAGAAGCATCTGGAGAAAATGAGGTGTCAAGAGCCGCCCCCGGGCCCCGGAGGAAGCGGAGAGCCGCTCAGCGACGCCAGAGGCGCGGGCCAGGCCAAGCGCAAACGGCCCCTCTCCCCGGGGTCCTCGGCCCGAGGCCGGATCCAGAGGCCATCCTTCCTCAGCCCAGCGCTCCGGCCAGGGACACAGCGGTGGCCGCCTGGGCGGACCCCTCTGCCCTCTGCCCTCTGCCCCCTGCCCTCTGCCCTGGGCTGGACGTGCATTCCCCTGGACCGGCCACCCTGGCTCCTGACGCTGGCCCGTGTCCAGTGGCTCCCTCTCCAAGGCCGGGACACAGAGCCAGGAACACGGGCGTTTTATGACGTGGGAACAGCTGGGCGATGTGTGTTAGCTACTGCGCGGGGCCCTCGCTCCTTTACTGGGTTTTGCGGTAGTTTCAGGAGACGGATTCGGGCCTGAGCCCACCGTTCCTCAAAGTTCTTTGGGGAGACCTGCCAGGATATAAAAGCCGGGAGGGAAGGGGTGGGGGGGGGGGTGTATGGGTGCTGCGTGTGTGAGTGTGTGGGTGCCTGTGAGTCTGTGAGGAGCGTGAGGGGAGGCGATGGGTCCAGCCAGCCCCCTGCCTCCCTTGGGGGGAGGTGTGGCTGAACTCTGCCTGGGACCCCGAGAAGAAGGGAGGGGAAAGCCCGCCTGTGGTGGATAAGGACCCACAGGACACAGAGCTGAATGCGCCTGGCGCAGGTTACAGCCCCAGGTCAGACGGAGGATACATTGTATCAACATCCTCCATAGCGTCCTTGTCCATTGGACCCTTGTCAGCACCGGGAGGGGCCGGGAGCTTGGCAAACTCTTAGCATCGGAACCAGGCAAAGGGCACAGGGTCTCGCCCTCTCGCAGGCCTGCGGCTGCGTGCGAGCCTGCAATGACTTCGGTGACAGTTCGGATGAAAGAGCACCTGCTTGAAAAGCCAGGTCTGTGCTGCTCAGCTCTGAGCAGCCGGAGAACAGTACTTACTCTCGCCGTCCCAGAGACCCCGCCCCTTGGCCCGGTCTCCCCCCTCCCCCACCCCACCCCCCATCCCGATCCTTCGGGCAGGGAATCACCTCGGGACCCTCACCCGTCACCTTCTTCAACACCCTCAAGGGCGGTGGTGCCAGGCAGGGCTGGGATGGCAGAGGCCACCAAGGTGCCCTGTGCCCAGCCAGGGAGTGAGCCCCCCCAAATCTGCACCTTCTCCCCCCTCTCCAGCCCCTCTGATGATCATCTCAGGGTCAAAGGTCAAAAGCAAGTCGACCTCTGCTGATCCTTGGGGGGGACACTACTGTTCCCTCAAGTGGGGAGAACAGGTCAGAGGCCATGGTGATCCCCCACGAGTGACCTTCTAGAAACAGCCAGTGGGCCCGCGGGGGCCCCGGTTTGCCGGAGGAGCTGGCACGGCGAGGCCGGTTCGCAGCGAACTCCGCCCAGGCCCTGCGAGGTCAGCCACCGCCCACCGCGCCGTCGCCCTCTCCCGGCGGAGGGATGCGCAGCCCCGCCCGCTGAGCACGATGCCGGCCACACCCGCCCTGCACCGGCCCATGGGCTCATGGCGCCCCGAGGAGAAACCGTCCCTGCCCCCACGGAACCGGCTCCGAAAGTCCAGCCGCTTCCTCAGACCAGAGCTGCCGACACCGCCTCCCTCGCGTCCTCAGTGACACCGACCGACGCGGCCAGGCCGAGTGACATCTCCTCCTGTGAACGGGACCAGCACGGCCTCCCTGGGCGGTGACAGCGACACCATGGGTGGGGGTGATGCACAGGCCGGGGCTCAGCTGGCTCCCCACAGCCTGGCTAGTCAGGGCCACGCCAGCTCAGCCAGGCCCTTCTGGAAACTTCTAAAGCAGCGGTTCTCAACCTTCCTAATGCCGAGACCCTTTAATACAGTTCTTCATGTTGTGGTGACCCCCGATTTCATTGTTACAAATTGAACATAATGAAAGCACAGTGATTCATCACAAAAACAATATGTAATTATATATGTGTTTTCCGATGGTCTTAGACCCTGTGGGGTCGCGACCCACCGGTTGAGAACCGCTGATCTAAAGCAACCCCCTTCCTGAGGCGGAGCAGCGGCCAGGAGCGCTCCCTGGGCATTCTCACCCGGTGGCCTCTGAGCCCAGTGGCCTCTGAGAATGAGTGCAGCCCCTCTCAAAGGGGTGCTGGTTCCTTGTGGAGACTGGCCCGCTCTGCAAAGCTGCTCCCTCGGGTCCCACAGCGCGGGGCACAGGACGCGCGGGACACGGGACACAGGACGCGCAGGACACGGGACACGTGGGACACAGGACACGTGGGACACAGGACGCGTGGGGCATAGGACACGCGGGACACGGGACACAGGACGCGCGGGACACAGGATGCGTGGGGCACAGGACACGCGGGACACAGGACGCGTGGGACACAGGACACGTGGGACACAGGACACGTGGGACACAGGACACACGGGGCTGGGGCTGAGCGGACACCTCTCCCGTCGAAGGGGTCAGACGGACACCATGTGGCCCTGGCTGAACTTCCCACAGAGCGGCTGGGGCTGAGGAACCAGGTGCGCAGAGGGGACGGTGCCGGTCTGAGCTGTCTGTGGGGACAGACCGCAGAGCATGGCGTCCAGCTGTGGGTCAGGCCGAGGA